AACTCTTGGGTCTACACTTCGTTGTTCTGCATGAACTAGACTAATACAGCAATGGGACTGAGGCTCTTCTACTTAGACACTTGTATCCATCTGTAATAACAACTCTCATCATTAAAATGAATAAATATTCATAGTCAAAACAGGTATTTTGGTATATTTGGTATAGACAGGGTCACATATTTTTTTAAAAAACAACCTATATCCTAAAGCCATTGAGGCAAGTGGATTTATTAAAATTAGTAAAAACTCAAATGAGTATTACAATTCACCAGAAAACACATTGAGCTATTTCAACTCAATACTAGGAATTTTAGCAGCTGTGTAGACAGCTTCTACATGAAACAAGTCTGCTAACTTGAGGCGTGCTCCAGATTATCAGACTGTCCCTTCCAGCTGAAGCTGTGTGTAGTACTTCCTTAATAATACCTTATCCTTTTGGGATAAAGAAGTACAAGGCATTCCCAGGAACTGTGTTCCTGATCACGAAAAAGCTATGTAGACCACACATGAAATGACATGACAAGCCCTGTTAGTCTCTGAGGTAAATCACTCTGTAGATAACGCACTAATAAAAAATTGAAAAATATTTTTTTGAACAGCTTCTGTATCATTATCCAAGATTTAGCCTATTGGGAATTTGACTTCTTGTGGTTTATTTTATGCTCTTTCACAATTGTCACTAGACAATTTTCAGGAAACTCTCTGTGACTGAATTCCATGCTGTAGCTAACATTTTTCTCAGCGTGTTCTGGATCATCTCTGAGGCAATAAAAATAGAGCCCTAATTCTGTTAAGGTAACTTAGGGGCTAAATATCTCCATTGCTTTAATATGCCAAAATGCTTTCAGAGCTCTATAAAGATTTTTTTAAGTGAGAAGTGTAATCATCTAATTTTTCATCTCTTTTTGGAAATATATGTGCATTTATTTCTCAAAGGGAAATGTTATGGATAATGTTATGGAAGTAAGCAGTACAATTCCATAACATTACTTTCAAGCAAGAAAAGAATCTGTTAACGATGGGCCTTTTTAGTACATTTTACCACTATATGAAATCAATATCACTAAATAAACTGTCTACCCTCTATATTGAAATGCTGCTTGAGGTTTTATGTTCATCTGGGCCAATATCTTTTTCACTATTACCTGCCTAAATGGTAGAAATTTAGGGAATATACTTTTCAATCTACATTTCAAGTTTAGGAGGAATAGAGGGCAATAACTGAGATACGATTACCCCCAAGTGGTATAATTTGGAACTACAGAACATTATAATGAAAGCAATTTGCCTTATTGCATATTGTTGTAGTCACTTGAAAGAGGCTAATGAAACAAAAGAGGAATACGCCAAATGATACTCAGCCTCTGTCCTGAGGATGGCAAGGGACACGTGTAGGTTCATCCCTATCAAAAGACAGGCATGAAATGCTGCAGGCTTCTTCGTGAAATGCTTCTTCAAAACAAGGTCACTACAAATTAGCCTTCCTAAATAAAAGTCTAAAGAAAATAATAGAGAAAATCACTTAAAGACAAAACATATATTGCTTGTCTTGGGTCTTCAGCAGCTTAGGCTATAGTTAAAAATACAAAAAATTATAACTTAGATAACTTAGAGACTTTAGAATCCTATAAGCTCACGTAGTTCCTATCTCTAATTTTGTATGACAAATAAGGCTAACAGACAAAGAAAATACCAGATATTTTCTTCAGTTTTGAAGCAAAGTTTTGCGTTAAAGGACTTCTTTCTGGCGAACAGTAGCTAAGGCTCAGAAAGATCCAAAAAATTTATAAGCTAACACAGGAAAAACTAGAAAAAGCTAAAAGTTTACTGGCCTCTAACCCTGATTCCGGAAGCAGAGAACTGTAAATAGACACAGAAGGAAAATAAGCAACAGAATCATATCTTGTCTGCACATTTATTAAGACATTGTGGTCAATATAAGAAAAATGCTATCAAATAAGGATACACCAAAATGAATACAATTACTGGAAGACTTTATGTAATTATTACTTCTCATGTTTCACTTATGCAACTTTATCATAAAAAAGGTAGTTTTGCTGACTTTCTTTTGAGACCCCTCCAACAACGTGAGTCCTTACAGCAGCGCAAAACTGACTTTCGAAAGCATCCAATTAAGTGCTATAACAGACTTACCTGGAGTAAATAAGAAAACAGATGAAATGAAGAGGAAAGTCAATTAAAAACATTCAGAAATTCTGACATTTTTATGCTTACTTTTAATGTTTGAATGCTTTAATAGGCCCGTAGAATTGGGCAAAACAGTACGGAGTTAGATATTGCAGTAGGTGGACTCAGATTAGAGATTCTCTTTCTCCATTTTAAGCAAAAATGTTACAATCATGAAAAGGAATGAGCATGGACATTTTAATAAGTGTGCACAAGGCAAAGCCAGGCAAAGTTGGATCCTTTGGTAATCCTTCAGTAAAATAAGAAAAGCAAATTTATGAAAATGAAAATATACTTTTGCTTTGCTTCCTGTCAGGACAATGAGGAAATTTATTTCTGTTTCGAGTCAGCACAAGGGGCCCTTCCACAACATATACCTTACATTAGGAACTTGATCAAGGTATGACAGTGGAGAATGAGCAACCCAGACATATTTCTACTATTTTTAATTATGTATTACTCAGCTTTGGAGATGTACATCACTACGGCTCACAGACTTTCTAACTACCTCCATTTTATCCTGAGCAGTAAATTGAAAGGACTTAGATACAAGTATCATCTGATATTTGGTAAAATACATTAAAGAAAAACAAATTCAGAGGGAATTTGTGTCAGCGTACGTAAAGTCTGGTCCTATTTCATACCATCACTAAAGTTAAACAGCGTGTGTGTTAAGCATGCAGGATAACACCAAATTGAGAATCAAGACAAAAACTAATACAAAGAAAACATCTACAATGTAAAAAAAATGTGGTTCAGATATTTTTATTTAAAGTATCTGAAGTGTTTACTCACAATTCTCCTTCTGGTTTTGCTTTCTTGTCAGAAACCAGATAAACACTTCCAAAGCTTCCATTGCCAAGTTTCCTCTGAATGGTGTATCTCCTTGCAAACAGAGCATCCGAGCAAGAAGAATTAGATCTGGCAACAGTGACCTGCTTCGCAGTTTCTTGAAATTTGAGCATTGTTCTGTGCAACAGAAACTGGGAAAATTTCTCTAGAATATAGCTTTCCAAGTCTCTTACTCTTCTAAGGACGTTCACAGGAAACACATGAAACAGAGAGAAAAAAAAAAGGACTGACTGAATGTACTACTTGTTAAAATGCTCATATAATTCTGCTACAGCACTGAAAGGGGTTAACTTACAGTTCTGTCTGTTCTGTCGGGCACAAGTTATGTGAAAATATTAATTATTAAACTGTGGGCAGCAGACTTGAAAATGAAACTCCAGATAATGGAGATGTGCTATATCAATACTAAACGGATTTACTGAAAGAACAGGTTGGGGGATTTGAAACACAGCATCTATACATTAATTTATTTTGTATCTTCAGGTTTGAAGTTCATTTTTTCTCTTCTTCAAAGACAGGAACAACTATGTCTGTATTTTACCTTACAGTTCCTCCCAGACATGGCACAAAGAATTATATCCTATCTTTATAGCATCAATTGTTTTTTGTCCTATCTTTATTCCAGTGATGGCTTCATTGCTTCAACATGATTCACCATTAGTGTCTGCTGAAAATTAGAGCTTCCTGACTACTAGCAAGTCTGCAAGACTCTCAATAAACCCTGCTGCTTCTACCTTCCTTTCTGCTTTGCTATAATAGCTTTTCTTGATCCACCTTTTAATAACTCAGCTGTGATTTGTAATTCTGCAGACATAGAGACCACAAGGCAGAGGTCTAACACTTCCACAGCTTCCAGTAATTGAACATGGCTTTAGAATTACTTTGTTTCTTTCACCTTTCTCATTCTAAATAACACGGGGTAGGTGTATCTCTGCCCATTGCTTTCATTACCTTTCCTTTTTATGAGGCTGTGAGCTTTATTTGTGCTTCAGGATCCTTTGTCACAAGTAAAGGCAGTTTAAAATCCTATGATCAATGCAACTACTACCACCATCAATACTGCCTGCAGTAGTGCAGGGTGGCCACACCGTGTTTGTTCAGCATGGCATTTTAATGTCAATGCAAGTACATGAAAATTACTTTGTGCTGTTTTGGAGAAGGAAAGTGAAAAATGCTTCAGTACATGAAAATTACTTTGTGCTGTTTTAGAGAAGGAGCTTCCTTTTAAAATCTGCATTACTGCTGGCTACAAGGCATAACAATAACTTCCTAACAATTACAGAGCCCTAATGAAGCTTACGATTCTGAATTTATAACAGTAACAGTGTGTGTGCATGAACCTATTTTAATATCTATCTGCTGAGCTGCTGGCACACTTTGTCAATGGGCTTGGCTTGGCAGTGTCACAGTATTATGAAGCATAGCCAAATTTTGATTATTATCAGCTGTTTTAACGATGATACAATCTTCTAAACAGACAGACTTGTGAGATTCCGTTTCTATATTCTCCTTCAGAGAGCAAATTTTGAAATGCAAATGGCAAGCAAAAAATGTCAGCTAAAAAATGACTTACAGCTTCTGTAACTCCCACTCCGACTTAGAATGTATGAATGGACCACGTTGAGGTTGCTAGGAGTAAAGAAAAATCCCCATGAAATATTACATTGAAAAATAGGTAAACTTTCTGGGTTTGGCACTTACTGCTCTCCAAGGAAGCCTATGTTTATAGAAGTCTGAATATGCCTTTGTAAATTCTAGGCAGAACAGCTTTAACCACCTAACTTTTGGAAATAATTACACTTAAGAATTAACTGCTGCCACTTCTTTCCAGGTAGTAGCCCCTGCCGCTACTCACCTTACGATTTAGATATTTGCCTGGCTCCCAGGAGTGTGTCCCCATCTTTTACGCTACAATATCACACTTTAAAGTGCCCCACTGAGACTAATCCCTGTGCTTTATTTACAAACCTGTCTCTCACTTCTATTCCCTATGCTTCAGTTTCCCCCCCGCCACCTCTAACAAGGATAACAGTATCACCTTGTAAACAGCTTTGGTATCTCCTACTAAGTCGCATTATGGGCAGGATCTGGTGCCTGCAGCAGTGCTCACAGGGAGATTTAGAGGGTAAGCACAAGCATGGCTGAGCCATGATATTATTCAACTTGATGGTTACTCAAATGGTTATTTGCCAAGCAGCAGTACACCAACTGCTTCATTAAAGCTCAGGATAGCTAAAAGAAAAAAAAAATCAACTGTTGCGACTCTTCCTCTTCAAAAGCCCTTCTTTTTTTTTGTCCTGACAATACTTCGGTAATCTCACAGAACATTTTCCTTGCTTTCTTTTTTCATTTCTCATTTCCTTCAGGCAACCCTCAGCTTTCTTCTGCAGCAGTTAATGTTTCTCTACACTTCCTGACCCCCGAGACAAACCTTTCTTCGCTGACCAAGACCCTTTCCAAGTTCTTTCCAGTTTTCAAACCACAAGATCCCCTCTGGTACCTCAGCCACCACTACTCAACCACTTGCAGTACCACCTCCACAGCTCTAACATTTAAACTCTGGATCGCCTGCAGATTTACTTCCTCCAGTCCTTCTCCCGGTTCGGCTCGGCTCGGTTCGGCTCGGCTCGGCTCGGCCCAGCTGCACCTCAGGCCCAGGCCGTGTTTACGCCCCGTCGCTAGGAGACGCCGCG